TCTCCACACACGCCGAGAGAGAGGATGGAGTCCCTTGGAACTTTCACTTGGTCTTTAACACGAGTCGTTTTGTCCGCAAAAGCACCCAGTTTACAAGGGAGGCAGGCTAGATCGGGGACTACATAGAATTTCCATCCCCCCGACCCCCCATTTTCAGTTTGAGGCAGAGTCCCACTATGTAGCCCTGGCTGGACCTCGAACTCTCTGAGATCCACCTGCCTCTGCCGCAGAGTGCTGGAATTAAAGGCGTGTGCACGGTTCTTCATTTTATTTTTGAGTCAATTCCTGGCAGCATAGACTGTTCCTGGTTTTGTAACCCAGGTTAGCCTCCAACCCCTCATTCTCTTGCCTCGGCCTACCAAGTTGTGGCATCACAGACACGAGCCATCATTTGCCTAGCAGTGAGATGTTCTTTGAACTATTATTCTTTATCTATTCTGAGATTTACGAATCATTCCCCAGTACTCTCTAGGGACCTCTCAGAACTAACTTGAAGAGAAAAATAAATGGAGGTGCTTAAAAAACGAGTTTTTTGGGAAAAAAAATGGGGCCCTAAGTAAGATGGTTGACTTCTTCTGAGTCAAGAAGGCAGGTTAAGTCACAGGGGCCCAGATTAGACCACAAAGGATGCTGAAATCAGATAGATAACAATAGATTTATGGACACCAGTGTTATGACTGTGGTATTGTATTATAGTTCACTAAGTGTCATTCCTGGAGGAACCAGGGATTACTGACCCCAGTATCATATCTGCCCCTCATGAAAATTTTATTTAGAGCAATAGACTATGAATGTGATGAGAGTCTGTAAAAATTTTAACTCCAAATTTTAGGAAATTATTTCTTGGAAGCTGGAGAGGTGGCTCAGTGATGGAGAGGGAACGCTACTCTTCCAGAGGAGCCAGTTCAGTTCCCAGTGTCTGCAGTGGGCAGCTGATAACTCAGATCCAGGGGGATGTGACCCTTCTGACCTCTAAAGGAAACTGCACACACAACCACACATAATTAAAATAAAATAAAATTTTATTATTTTATTTTAGTGGGAGTGGGGTGAGGTGAAAAACCTTTAAAAATACATTTGTACTATATATAACTGCCATTTTCTGTTGCTGTTGTTGGGACTCCTGAGAATATCTGCAATAAGGGCACATTTCTCCTCTCTTATAGGCAATTGTGTGGGATGAGTACTTAACAGGACCATTTGGACTGATTGCCCAGTATTCCCTACTAAAGGTAATGCAACATATGGGATATGCTCAAGAATTAATAATTAATTGAACTTAGTATTGGCAATGGGATTTTTACATATCTTCTAGAATAATTACTTACAAAGCTATTTGATCTGTATAAACACTGATATTAATATGTTGTGAACATTCTTCATAGAGGGTGAGCCTCTATGAAGGGAGAACCTTTATAGAGGGTGCAGCTCAGTGTTCATGTATGTGCCTTGTACAAGGCTCTGGAATTGATGTCTGGTGTCTCAGAGAAGAAACAGAAACAAAAAACCACTTTGTACACAGCACCGTCTTATGGGACCGTGTCCTGGTGCCTTTGACAACTTGTTGTGTCAGAAGTGTGACTGCTGTGCAGAAACAATGTCTTTATCTTGAGGCGTGGTCCTCTATGTGATTGAGTTATTTCTAAATCTGAAGATGATAGAGGTCAGATTTATAAAACCTTTTGTGTTTGCTTCCCTAGGAACATGAAGTGGAAAAAATGTTCACACTTAAAGGAAATCGTTTGCCAGCAGCTGATGTCAAGAACATCATTTTTTTGGTCAGACCCAGGCTAGAATTGATGGATATAATTGCTGAGAATGTGCTCAGGTACCTCAGAGCTTTGAGTTTCAAAACAAGTTGGGCTTTAAAAGTTTTTTTTTTTTTTTTTTTTGCACTTATTTATATATTTA